TATTTTTCTGTTAATTAGTATTTGTCAGTCACAACAGTTATATATTTTTAATTTTATTCCTGAACAGATTCTACATCTTCATATTTTATTTAACGATTATTTATTGATAATTTATTGATAATTTACTGTGTGAATTTTACATTATAACTAAGATTATATATTATTTATTACCATACTAACAAATAGAAAGTTGAGTACCATATCATTGAATTATATTAATATTTTTGACATTATATTAATGAAATTTATAATTTTATTAGAATGTCATAAAATTCTGTTCAATCAGTCTTCCAACTTTTTGACGAGCAATTTCGATTCCTCTGTTTAACATTCAATTGTTCACACGACATGCGATTATGATGTAATTTTTTTACAATCAACACTTAGTTCATGGTAACATCTTTATATTAAATAAATATCTGAAGAGGTTCTAATTCAAAGACCGAAATATGTAATAACGTATTTCAATTATAATTGTTTAGAATACAGTATGTAATATTATTTTGTTTTTTAATATATAATTTAATTTGTTAAAATTGACTCTTACATGCCCTATTAATATATTAATTTATTTCTTATTAATATCAAATGTCTTTGATTAGATTATACTTTATTTTTATGAAAGTAGAAGTCTGAATATTTTATTTTTTATACTTAATAAAAGTTTTTAGAAATACATGACTCATATGTGTTCTGGGACATTTTTAATAAAAATACTTGAAATATTATTTTGACTTCTTTTTTCATGGCATTACCTTTGGTTTTTTCTGTAAAATATACTTAACCCCTTTTTTTTGTATTTTTAATGTCTTTTCCGATTGGTTTCACGAATTTTTACTAAATTTTTGTTATCAGTATAACACATTTTATATTCATATTTAAAAGATAATATAATAATGACGATAGAGGTACTAATAAAAATAATATTTTAAAATAATTAAAGGAGTTATGATATCTTTCTAATAAGTAAGTACAATATTTTGTCTTACTGTGGCACTCACTCTTTAATGATAACTTTGGCGGTAATTAACACGAAATGCTATCACACATTATGAACATGACAATATGTTTAACGTAACTTTTGTTGTGCATATATATACAGGGTGGAGCATTTTAATCGCCCTAGACGAATATCTCAGAAACTAAGAGAGATACAAGAAAAAGTTTTATATGAAAATTTTATATGAAAGTTGTTTCCTTGGGAGAAAGAAGGTGAAAAAAAAGGCACTACCAAGGTCAAGTCAAAATCAATATAAATTTTTTTTGGATCCCCCTGGAGATACTGGTCTCGGCGCTAAGCATGAGTCTGTATTATGATAGTGTCTCGATCGGTTTGTTTTTCGGGTTGTTTTATCGATCCTGTTGTTTTTTCAAAACAACAGGATCGATAAAATCGGTAATAATAAAACACATTAGTAATTGCTAAAAACTAGGAAATGATAATGAAAAACGATTTATTCGATAAATCACTTTTTCATTATCATTTCTTAGCTTAATTAACAATTATCAGCGTGTAATTTCTATCTCTCCTTTTGTTAAATATTAAGTTAAATATTAATTTTTTATTGCATATTCTTCTGCATATCTAGCCTTGAGAGCTTTCCAAAATACTATAATAAAATATTTTTTTGTTAAGAACTTGTCGAGTTTGAGAACTTGAAAGTTACAGTACCGCCAGCATTATAGCATTACGCAAGGTGTTCGATCAACGACTAAAATCTCTTGAATGTTGTTTAGGATCATGTTCTGGATAACATTTTTCAAGATCAAGGCTATTGGAGATTATTCCTCTTATTTTCATTTTTGTGTTAAAAATTTATTTCTATGTAAGAATGAATATAAGAAGTACAACTTCCAATCCGTTAATCGGTTGTCTTGGGTAATATCATGGAGGATACTCAATCAGAAATGATAATAGAATCGACATCGATTCCATTATCATTTCTAACTGAGTAGAGACCAGGGGTGTGATTCTGTAACAGTTTTATATGTCTACCGACAGTTGTCGACGTCGTTGCGCAAATATTTTATATGGTGAAAAAGCTGCGCAATGATGTATTGATAACTGTCGGTAGACGTGTAAAAACAGTTACAGAATCGCACCCCAAGAGATCGAACTAGGCTGTGAAAAGTGTAGTCAAAATCAGGTTTCTGAATTGATATTGATAGTACTCGGTAGGCAGCTTTCGAATCGCAAAACTCCTCATATACGCTTACGCACACATAACTGAACACACATAACCTAAAAATAGAGACAATATTCTTTAACAGTAAGACTTTAAATTGTCATTAAAATTGCATGAAAAATGGAGCATTCTTCATGTAAAATTATGACCTAACATGCAAACTGCGAGAACGGTATCATGGAAAGATATCTCGATCGACTAATTTAAATGATCATTTTTGACGGCTCATTCATATAAGTTCGATCTCCTGGTCTTTGTTTTCCATGAATAATATTAATGCAATACTGTCAAGCCTCATAATTCGAAAAATACTTCATATTTTATTTAAAAAATATTTTATTATTTTGGAAAGTTCTCGAAGTGTGCTACAAAAATATGCAATAAAAAATGGGGGAGTTCCATTAAAAAAAATCATGTTGACCTTGACCTGACCTTAATAGTGCCCCCCTTATCCAAAATCCGTTGTTTCCATCTAAGATTCTTTGCCCTAAGGAAACCTACAACTTTTATAAAACTTTTTCTTGTTCTCTCTTAATTTCTGAAATATTTGCCTGGGGCGATATTAAAATGCCCTACCCTGTCGAAGAAATGTAAAAAAATGTGGAAAGAATGCGGAAAAATGCCAAAAGTATGAGAAAGTGAATAGATAACATAGATGAATAGATTAGGTAGATAGATGATAAATACCATAAATAGCCATAATATCATAAATAAATAACGTAAATAAGTAAATAACATAGAGAAATAACATAGAGATGGATAGATAAATGTCGACAGGCCGATAGATAACATAGATATATAGAATATTCCGTAATTCATTCGACACCGCTCTTCGTCAAGTAGAGCGGATTAAACTAAGTCGAAAAGTCCTTTACCATTTTGCAGTTTTCGTAATAGTTAACAAGATATTATTAAAAATTGCCGAGTATTGATCTGAAAACAGCAAGAGGCAAAAATTATTTAGTTTTTTCTCATAGAACTCTAAGAATTTTTTATCAACTTTTAGTACTACATTTTTTTATTTTTATCAACATGAGAAAATACGATATTAAAAAATCTGAAAAAATTCTGAAAAAAATTTCAATACTTTATGAAAAGAAAATAAATAATTTTCATTTCTTGCTGTTTTTCTGTAAAGTTGATAGTATTTGAGAAAAAATTATTGAATACCAATATTCAGCAATTTTTAGAAAATATCTTGTTAGCTATTGCGAAAATTGCAAAATGATAGAGGACTTTTCGACTCAGTTTATTCCGCTCCATCTGTCCACGAGCATTGTCAGATGAATTATGAGACACTCTGTATAAGTAGATATGTAAATAAATAATGCAAACAGACAAGATGCGAAAAAAATATAGAAGAGATGTGAAAGACATACTGAAACGTTGCGAAGAAATGTGGAATAAATGCAGAAAAAAATGTCGAAAAGATATGGAAGTGGTACTGAAGTGATACTTAAAAGGTGTAGAAGAAATGCAAAAGAATTGCGGAAATGTGCAGAAATAATGCGAAGAGATATAAAACAAATATGGAAGAAATACAAAGGGGTGTAGAGATGATGCGGACAAGGTCTAGAAGAGGTACAATACAAAGAGTTGCGGAAACAGTGAAAAGAGATATGGAAAAGTGCAGAAAATGCGAAATTAATACGGAAGAGATGTGAGAGATGTAATAGAGATGTAGAAAAAGTGCAGGAAAGGTATATGAAAAGTGCAGAAGTAATGCGGGAAAGGTGTAGTAAAAGTGCGAAAAAAATGTAAAAAAAGAAAAGAAAGTGTCGAAAAAATGCAAAAATGGTATAGAAAAAGTGTAGAAAATGTGTAGAAAAAGTGCAGAAAATAAGTACAAAAAAATACAGAAGTGCAGAAAAAGATACAAAAAGAGAATGTAGAAAATGTAACAAAAGGGGACAAGATTTTGTGAAGATGATGACGTATAAATGAATAAATGACATAAATGGGGTTGAAAAATATGTGCTTCAACCCCTACAGCACAAAAGTGGCAGCTACAACATTGCAGCATCATTGCATGTTGCAACAATATTGCAGCGTTATTACAGCGATATTGTTGCAAATTTTGTACTGTATGAGCATATTCATATCTAAGCATCAAGTACACTGCCTTACAGATATGATATTGTATCTCATAATTATAAAAATCTATTCTTCCCCAATATATATATTTTTTTATAACATCAATTTGTTCAAACAAAACAATTTTTAATTACATAAGCGAGTTCCTTTCTAAAAAAAAGGATACGCTGTAGCGTCTCTTTCATGATGGTATTATCCTCTTTATAAAAAGAATGTTTTATTAATGTACTATAGAAATAAACTTGAAGAGAGACACTACCAAGTCTCCTGATATGTTTTAATTGTGTGAATGTATTGAATACAATTGAGAATGCAGTATAACTTTAGACAGATTTTAAAATTGCTACATCAAAGAGGTTTCTCAAAACATGGTTTCTCACCCAGTGTATCCTCAATTCTACATATTTTGCACAATAGTACACGGAATCGATTATATAGATTGTAATATGCATGTAATAATTTGAAGAATTAAAAAGAAGACTATTATTCTCTTTGTCTTACATTAATTTTATGCTTATAAAGTGACTATCATAATTTATGTTCTCACTGAGGATGATATTAAAGATCAAAATGTTTGAATAAATAACTTTTGTATTTTTATTGAACTATATATATTTTAATTTTAACTATATATATATTAATATTTTAAAAACATTCAGCGTTTTGACTCAACATAGTTCTTTATTTCTTCGGATTCGAATTAATAATATTTTTATTCAGGACACTGCATACAATGTTACCAATGTAACAGCACCAGCACCAAGTATCCATTTCAATGTAATGAATTCCTGACGAGCGACAATGATCTTCAGCCTAGATCATGCGACGACGTTTATGCAGCGCAATATTGTGTCAAGCACATAGGCCGCTTCGAGGGTAAACAACAACGAAGATATTTTCTATAGCCTTTGCTTGGCAGACTAGCATAGTGGCGATGCAGAGAAAGCTGATTAACTTTTCTAACAATTGTATTTCACACAGATTAATCGAGCATGTCAGCGACTCTATATTAAACTCAACCGAATTCTTTCCAGATCTTTTCAACTTGCTGAAACATATTTATTATATTTGAGATCTTGGAATGCAAATTGAACTATTATAAGCGATTTTTTACATATCACTCTCTTATTTTAAAAATGACAACTCAACGAATTAAATTTTCTAGAAAAGAAAGAAACTATATATTGTTCAACTCGACAGAAACTTATTGACTTAAATCGAATAAATGGCAAAAGAATGTATTCTTAATAAGATTAAATATCATTTTGTCATTTTCGTCTTAAAACTTTTAAAAACTGTCTTTTTTCAATTGTGATGCGATTTGAATGATTTTTTTAAATTTATCTTTTTTTTAATATTGTAACTATTTTTATAATTTTTGTAAAGTTAATTTATTTTTGATGATAAAGATTAAAACGAATTCAATAACGAATTCATGTGACAATAACTTCGAAAAATTGCGACAAATTATCCTGTAATTTTGGAAAGTTACTAAAATAACAATTTTTTTTGTTTTTGTCATTTTTTTATTTTTTTAAATAAAATAATTACAGAAATCAAATTTATTTAATTCATATTTTCTATAAAATATTTTGATATACACTACATGATTACTAGAGAGATCACTACATGATATTAAAGTATAGTCACTTTCCAAAACTGAAAATTTATTTAATTGATTATTATTGTATTTTACAAAAATGATATAATTTGCATTTCAATGCTCTTTCACGTTGCAAAAAATTCATTTACCTACTAACCAAAATCCTGTTTATATCATTGCAGTAGATCATTTCTATGGCTGTGTCTAAGAGTCATTTCATAATTATTATTTTATGATGTAGCATGGAAAACTTGTGTAACATTGATTGTCATATAGTTTTAATTAGAAATTTAATCATTGCTTTCTTAAAATTAAAAGTGATGACCTTGGATTGCTATCAATGTACATCGGCGGATGAATGGAAGTGCATGGATAGCGAATTGGTTAAAAATATCTTGATGCCGGCAAATTGTAGTCATGTGTATGGAGCACGTTATTGCATCAAATCAATCGGCCGTTATGGAGGTTTTTATAATAAGAATCTGTATTTATTGTCGAATGTGTGCATGAATGTTCTTTCAATGCCAAATTTTTTACGTGGAAACCATCACTTATTGAAATAAAGAAAGTTCTTAATTCTTTATTTTAATATAGTTTAAAAAATTCTAAGATTAAAATATATAAAGAGATTTGCAAAAGTCATATTTTTTTAATATTGATTCTTATCTACATTGTGATATGATACTTAATATATTATTATTGGAATAAGAAAAATGATGTTCTTTTTCTGTTCTTGAAAGTGATCGTTTCGACTCGAATTTTTTTACTTATGTGTTCTATTTTCAGAATTTGAAATTAATTTAGCAAAAAAAATATTTTGATTATTTTCCTTAAAAGATATTTAAAAGGTTCTCGAATCTTACACATAATATAAGGATTTTATCAATTCTTAAGAATAAGTTTAATTAATAATATGTAAACACTCTTGAATTTTTTCAGATTTAAAAAATTTTTGTACAATTTTCTTTAAATAACTTTCTAAAATAACTTAAATTCTTGTGAGGAGTTTTAAATAATCTAATTGTACACAAAATATATTTTGAAGATAGATATGAAAGAATTAAATTTGAATAATTATTATAAACAATTTTTATTTAATATTTTCCACATATTCATTTTTATTATAAAAAAAGATATTTTTTAATAAT